AGCACACCAACCCACGGGCGGGCGGGCGCCCCGACCAGACACCCAGCCCAGCCCAGTCAGCAAGGCCCACCAAGGAAAGGCGCGTGACACCAGTCCAGTCAACCAGCCCCTGCCCAACACCCACCAAACCGCCCACTAACGGAGGCGATTCACCGATTACCCATTCACTTCCACCCACACCGCGTGGCGACGAGCCGACCCCAGCCCAGCCGACCACGCGACCCACGGCCACCAAGTCCGGCGGGGCGCCGCCACCCGTCGGCCCGATACTTGAACCCCTCGGGAGGTGTGCAGAACACGCCACGGACAACCAATGCATCCAGTGCGGCGACTACGTGGTCATCAGGGGTGGCTCCCTTCCCCGCAACAGGTGGTTCAGCACTGCGGACTGCACCGAGCCCCTCACGACGCAGCCCCTGGATGGAGCCGTCTTCGGACCCGTCCTCCGCATCATGACCCGTGAGCAGGACGCGCGGGCGCTGCTCGTCCAGATCGGCAGCGAGTGGCTGGAAGTACGAGGCGTCGGCGACAGGACGCTACGCGTAAACGTCCTCCAGGGAGGCGCAGCGCTCCGCGCAGCTACCTTTCTGGACAGTGCCCAAGGCAAGGTACACAGGAAGCAAGCAACAGCGGTCCTCGACAACCCCTCGAGAGGCATCGACACCACGGGAGACAAAGCGGCGCCCGCAGGACACATGCAGGACATGCCCCAGCCTGAGCCCTACCCCCCGCAATCCAGCACACGGGACCCCACCTACGAACCTGCACCCCTCATGCCCCCTAAGGAGGAGGACCCTGACTGGGGCAACGAAGACCAAGCAAAAGAGGAGAAACTGCGCCTCGCCGAGGCCCTGAGCGTGGTCCATCCCGTCTCCTCGTCCTCTGACTCGGGCACAGTCGAAGAACACCAAGCCAAGACGAGTCCTCAGAGCGAGCGGCACGCCAGCCCCGAGATCGACCCCCGCAGTGCCGACCAGAGGGCTGCCCGCGCACCCGCCGAGCCAATCCTGCGTCCAGGGGCCGTGGCCGACGATCGGACCCTGCAAATGCGGGACCGCTCCAGGGGCCCGGAGGACCCACGACCTGCGCTCACCCCTCTCTCTGCGCACCTGCCAGGGCGCCCGCGCGGCAGGGTTCGGGAACCAGTCGCCCGGGAGCTGTACACGACGGCGGTAAGGCGCGAGTCCAGAGAGGACGACCGGCCACGCGCAGGAGAGCGAGACCGCGACCGCGTCCGCGACCGCGACCGCGACCTGAGCGCGTCGGGGGCACCTTGGCGCAGACATGACGCCAAGGACTGGGACAGAACTAAGGAGCGCTACTGGGACCAAACCCACGACACTGGCTGGGGCTCAGGTAGCGCACCCTGGCGCCAGCCAGAATCGCGCAGCTCTCACCACAAGGACGATCGCAGCCACACCGACACCAGTCGGACGCACACCACCTTCCGCGTTGGATGGCAGCGCCTACCAAACGAGACAGCAGTAACACACCTGAAGAGGTTGCAAACAGAAGGGGGATACCACTTTAACGTAGCCTGGCATTCGTGGCGCAGGCACATGTACAAGGAGCAGGGCAAGGGCAAATCCAAAGACCAGGCGCCCTTCGACCCACGCCGCTGGCAGCAGTGGGTCATCGACAAATTCCTGGATGACATGAACGCCAACAACTACCGCATGGACCGATGGTCCAGCAGCGCAGGTGTCTACGTGGACTGGGAGCGGGAGCAGAAGCTCTACCAGGAGGTGCAGAGGAAAAGGGAGGTCGCTAAGGGTGACGGGCGCGACGGGGACCAGGCGCGCAGTTCCAGGTACCACGACACCTGGACTGGAAAGCGCCCGCGGCGCTGACTGTCGTCGGCTACCACACCTGCCCCACAACACCACTGCATAACTTGCCAGTCACTCTCACTACCTGCGCCCCCGTCTCCGATCCACACCCCCACCTGACACCCGGCTGGGGGCCGTGTCCCTTTCTCCCCCTTTACCTGCACCCCATCGCCCTTGTGGCGCCCGCGTTCCACGTGCTGGCTACCCACCCTTCCACCCGGACCCCGTCCTCTCCTCCTTCTCCCCTCCTTCTCTCCCGTTTCCACAGGATCTGGGACTCTGTGTCCTACCTGTACCCATCGGCTGATTGAGATTCAGGGATCTGGGACTTTGTGTCCCCCCTGTACCCATCGGCTGTTTCCAAAGGATCTGGGACTATGTGTCCTATCTGTACCCATCGGCTGATTGAGATTCGAGGATCTGGGACTCTGTGTCCTACCTGTACCCATCGGCTGATTGAGATTCGAGGATCTGGGACTCCGTGTCCCCCCTGTACCCACCTGCGACGCAGTGGTGCGCCAGCGACATGCGTGGCACGCCCGCGCTGGGGCCTCGGGTCTTACCTGTACGCATTGGGGCGTCCCCACGTGAGCACCTCGGTGCATGCTGGCGGGATTTCGGCTGGCGTGGGACGCCGGCCTCTCTCCTCCCTGTTCGCTTCTTCCCTCCCCGCTCGCTTTCCCCCTCCCATGGCGGCGGCGCCCGGCACAGCGCGGCTCCGGCCCGGTGCTGGCACTGCACCTTGCCGCCTCGGCGGCCCCGCTCACCCTGGGCAGCGCGGCTCAGGCCCGGCCCGCGGCAGGCGGACACAGACGGCCCTTCTGGCCGAACCCCTTGGCTGCTACATGGACGTGGATTGGACTACCACCCCAGGCCGCTACCGACCACCTGGTGGCACAACGTTGCACATCGTCTTCGTGGTCCTCCTCATCTCCTGGGCCTCTCCTTATCATCGGCGCCTCGCTGAGAGGTCGGAGATTGGCCCCGGAGTGCAGATCCGCGCGGTCCTGGGCGTGGCGGGGCCGTCGGGCCCCCATCGGCGGTGAATGGGCGATCGGCGGTCGATGCGTCCCCCCGGATCCGATCCCCCCGAGCGACGCCCCCGAGAGGAGGGCAGCCCAGTGCTGCCCGGCAAGAGGCAGGAGGCGTTCCCCCGCTGCGCGACTCCCCGAAGTGGCCCTCCTCCGCGGAGGCCCCTCTTGGACCAGAGGACACAGGGAGGAGCGAAGGAACAACAAGGAACGATGGAGGAGACAACAAACGAACACCAAGCGAAGCGACACGCACGTCCCTCCCCACGCAGCACTCGAGGATGGTGGTTCTGACGCGCCGTTGACGGCAACACCACCTCGCTCTCCCTCCGGGACTTCGCCTCCGGCTCCTGTCCAAGGCGTACCTTTTCCTGTGCAAGCTCTTCGGCACCGCCTGTACCCCGCACCCTCCGGCCGCCTGAGGCCCCGCCCGCCCGCGCCCTGTCTCCCCCAATTAGTGTTTTGCGCGCCCCGCCTAGCTCATAACCAGAAGAGGTACGCTCTCGACCCGCAGACCCCCCCCCCACAAAAAAATGCAGGTTGGGGCTATCGCGCCCCTATCGGTCCCATCCACCTCGTCAGCTCCTTGCGTTTCATCCACCCGGGACAGCGCTTCGTGGCCCCATAGGGAGCTCCACCGAAGGCCCCAGTGGCAGGGTTCGCATGCGTCCCCAAAACCCAATTTGGCACACCCCTCACACGCTTCGTGGTCCCACGGGCAGCTCCACCCAAGGCCCCAGTGGCAGGGTTCGCATGCGTCCCCCCGCCCATTTCGGCACACCCCTCACACGCTTCGTGGCCCCATAGGGAGCTCCACCGAATGCCCTGGTGCCACCGCCCGCATGCGTCACCCACGCCCATTCCGGCACACCCCTCACACGCTTCGTGGCCCCATAGGAAGCTCCACCGAAGGCCCCAGCGGCAGGGTTCGCATGCGTCCCCCCGCCCATTTCGGCACACCCCTCACACGTTTCGTGGCCCCATAGGGAGCTCCACCGAAGGCCCCAGCGGAGGGTTCGCATGCGTCCCCCAAACACAATTTGGCACACCCCTCACACGCTTCGTGGTCCCACAGGGAGCTCCTCCGAAGGCCCCAGCGGCAAGGTTCGCATGCGCCGCCCCGCCCATTTCGGCACACCCCTCACACGCTTCGTGGCCCCATAGGGAGCTCCACCGAAGGCCCTGGTGCCACCGCCCGCATGCGTCACCCACGCCCATTCCGGCACACCGCTCACACGTTCCGTGGCCCCATAGGAAGCTCCACCGAAGGCCCCAGTGGCAGGGTTCGCATGCGTCCCCCCGCCCATTTCGGCACACCCCTCACACGCTTCGTGGCCCATAGGGAGCTCCACCGAAGGCCCCAGCGGCAGGGTTCGCATGCGTCCCCCCGCCCAGTTCGGCACACCCCTCACACGCTTCGTGGCCCCATAGGGAGCTCCACCGAAGGGCCCAGCGGCAGGGTTCGCATGCGTGCCCCCGCCCACTTCGGCACACCACGCACACGTTTCGTGGCCCCATAAGGGGGCTCCACCGAAGGCCCCAGCGGCAAGGTTCGCATGCGTCGCCCCGCCCATTCCAGCACACCCCTCACACGGTTCGTGGCCCCATAGGGAGCTCCACCGAAGGCCCTGGTGCCACCGCCCGCATGCGTCACCCACGCCCATTCCAGCACACCCCTCACACGTTCCGTGGCCCCATAGGAAGCTCCACCGAAGGCCCCAGCGGCAGGGTTCGCATGCGTCCCCCCGCCCAGTTCGGCACACCCCTCACACGCTTCGTGGCCCCATAGGGAGCTCCACCGAAGGGCCGAGGATCGTGTCCCCATAGGGAGCTCCACCGAAGGCCCCAGCGGCAGGGTCCGCATGCGTCCCCCCGCTCATTTCGGCACACCCCTCATGAGGGTCGTGGCCCCGTAGGAGCTCCACCGAAAGCGGCACCCTCAACGCGTTACTCACAACTGCGTATGGTTGGGTCCTTCGTCTGGATAATTTCACAACGGGCGGTTTCGCTCCATTGCAGGCCCTGGGGGACCCTCACGGATCGATCCGGCTCAAGAAATGGCGGCTCTGGCAGTGTGTTTTTTGTTTGCGATGTTGCAATTGTTCTGCAACGTCGGATCTCAGGGAATATCCCAGAATACAAATGTCCCGCCAAGATCCGTGCTTGCAGGCGACCTGCAGCCTGCAGCACAGCAGCTCCCCGTCGGCCCGAGCTCCAGATAGCGACTCGAGCCAGTGCTGGCTGTCGCTGTTGCTTCTTTTTGACCTTGGGCATGCGATCCGCAGGCCTGCGGATCGAATTCTTCTAGCTATCGCCCCTAGCTGCGTTCGGCCCTGGAACATGAATGGCATCCACTGACGACTCTCAGAATTCGGGCCATTCGACCAAACGTCTGGGGCGATGGAGTCAGTTGAAAAAGCACGGGGGCTTACGAAACAATTTCTACCGAAGACGGCAGGCATTCATGCACTCGGTGTCATCGAGGCACATTTGGCGAGGCTCTGCGGCAGCTGTTCGTGTCATCCTGCGGTTGCGGCTCCCCCAACTATTCTCGTCGCCTGAACCTCCTGTTTTCCTCCTCCTCCTTTTCCCTCCGCCAAGAAAGGCGAATCGTCGGCATCCCGTGGCGCCAGCTGTGCCAAAAGAGCTTCAAACCAGCAAATGAGGCCTCGGCACAGGCGGATGCAGTCGGCGGCGGCCCTGCGGACTCAGCGGGGTTTCGTCTCGCCGATGTCGGCAGACTCTGGAACTTCTGACTGCAGTGCATGCGGCTCTGGCTCTGCGCCCATGAGGACGAAAGGCAAGAAATCTTGATTTCTGACGCGGGTCATCCGTGCGCTGCTCCACTTGCGCAGGTTTGCGTCGAAGCCCTGCACAGAAGCGCAAGACACGTTCAGAGGACGGACCTTGCCAGTCTCGTCCTGGTTGCCAAGGCGCCTGGAGCCGTGCCACGCGCCTGCAAAGGCGCCTGCCGCCGACGCAGTCCTAAAATTGATGAACGCGAGGCCTTTTCCGGAGCCGTCCTTGAAGTTCCTCGCCAGCCAGCCACAACTGAGGAAGCTGTGTTCTTTACCCATTTGGGGAGCCCATTGTGTCTGCACTCCTCGAGAGGTGTGTCGCGGCCGATGGGTCCCCCTGGGGGGGGTAAGGACCACGGCTCCCTGGGCGTGGCTGGGCCGTCCTCGGGAGCCACGCAAAGTCGTACTTCTCTGCGAAACCACTGCGGTTGACCTCGTCGAGAAACTCCTGCTGAGAGGTGAAGGTGTGCAGGTTGCGCACGACAAGGGTGGTGATGCCGGGCTGGAAAGCGCGACGACGCGTATGGCTTGCCTTGCACTCGTGGGCAGCTTGGGCATGGGTCTCCTGGGCCGTGGGGACCGTCACGGGGGTCTTGAATACCGCCACACTGATGGCCGTCGCCGAAACGGCCACGGCCTTCCTAGACACTGGGACATTGTGGATGCGCGGGGGCGGTGTCCTGGTGGCCGTCGCGGGAGCAGCCACAGCCTGGCCAACCACCTGCTGCCTGGCCTCGCAGGGGCGCGTCATCGAGATGGCCCTCGCGCAGGCGGCAGGGCCTGGCAATGCCGACGCCTGCCCAGGCAGCGCAGTGGAGGTGCGGGCGTAGTGGCGCTTCGGTAGCGGCGCTGGCCATATCTCCCATACAAACTTGACCTGGGGCTCGCCGTCGTCGTCCGTGTCGGGATAGAGGGTCATCTTCGATGGGAAGTCCTCGCCCTCCTCCACCTCCCCATCCACCTCGTCATCTCTGTCGAAAAGCTCCGGCGGCACCAAGGCGAAGCGGCCGTGCTGACTGATGTCGCACAGCGCCGCGTCCGATGGACAGCGCATCGTTGATGGCATGCAGCCACAGAGCCCCCCGCGAGGCACGCGGGGCGCTGTGGCAGTCGGCTGGGACGTGATCCTCTCGGGCACCTCCGATGGGAAGACGAGCCTCTCAGGCGTCCCGTCCGCGTGGTGGCTCGGCGGCACTGCGGTAGGCCCCATCGACTGGCAGAGCGCTCCAGAGCTGCATTGGAGCCCCAGGTTCCCCACGGGAGCTGCGTGACCGCGCTGCTGCGGCGCGGCAGTGCCGCTGACTGCCTGCATGCTCATGCCAGGAGCGCGAATGCCAAGAACGGTCTGGCCCGCTGATCTCGGATCGCGCGGAGCTGCCAGGCGACTCGAGCCGCCGAGTGAGCAACGCCAGACGCTGCCGAAAAAACGCGGTAATTAGCAAGTGGGGGAAGGGCTCCGTGAAGTTCGCAGGGCCGTCTTGGAATCCCGTCGACCTGCGTGCGGGCTTCTTGGGGTCGTAAGCACGTGTCAAAACAGCCCGAAGACGCCTCAGGATGACCCGAGGACGAAAAAACATGTTCAGAAAGGCCTAACATGGCCAAACTGGATCCTGGGATAGCTTCAAGATGCCCCAACTCCATATTGCATCCACAAGAGCATCAACCCCAAGAAGCAATTTGTTAGCCAGCGTGGACCCCAAATGTGATCTCTTGCAACAGATGCGGTGCAGCCTAGGTGGTGCTATTTGGCACAAGCAATGTGATCCAATCTAGGTGGTGCAATCCGCGTGGCGCAAACCAACGCAAACCAACTCAAACGCAATGCTGAGCAATGCCACGCAATGATAAGCAATTCGAACCAACGCAAAGCAATGCAAACCAGCGCAAAGCAACGCAAAGCGCAAAGCAATGCGAAGCAATGCGAAGCAATGCGAAGCAATGCCGCGCAATGCATCGCAATGCAAAATCGCCAAACCGACCCCCAGGCCCAGACGACGGGCAGCGACGAGGCGGCGACGGGGCGGCGACGGCGACTACATGACCGCCAAACCGACCCCCATGCCCGATTCCTCATTCCAAACGTGAGATACCCGTAAGTACAAGCACTGCTTCGGGAAATAGGCGAGGTGAACGTCATCAACAGATGCAT